TGAATATCCACAGACAAGTGGATATTATTCCACAACCTCCTAAAATGCTGTTGGATTAAGTTCCAATCAATACCTGGCTGGTTTTGACTTACACATCTGACACTTTCTTAAGGTTAGATCTGTGTATGGCAGGGCATAGGTTTTGATGTTTAAAAATGTGTTTGTTTTCTTTTCTTCATATGGTGTCTTTCCTCATTTTCCTCCTTCCATCAGACTTTTCCATCACACTAGTGTCTAAGTCACTCTCTGAGCCCATTGTTGTTGTTGGTTCCAACTCATACGACCCTGTATAGGGTTTCCTGGGAGCGGCTGGTGAGCTTGAGCCACTGATCTTACTGTTCAAACCGACCTTGTTGTCCAGTGTGTTAACCTGCAACACCACACAGGGACTCCGACACATAAATATCAGGAGAAAAGTAGATAGTTATTCCACAGTGCCTCTAACCTTGGGATGATTTCTGAATTATGGGGAAGAGATGTCCCCAGTGGTCTTCAAAGTTTAGTGAGCATCAGAATCACAGGGGGGCCCCACCACAGTCTTTTGGAGTCAGCAGATCAGGGTTGGAGCCTGAGAATGTGCCTTCTAACAAGTTCTCATGTTTGCCAGACTTTCCCTTGGACAAAATTTGACCTGTAAAAGGAGTCAGTGACTAATGGGAAGAGCAGGGTTGAGAGATTTACTTATTAAAATTGTGCTTGGTTTAGGACTAGCTCAAACCTTTCTTAGAAACCATATTTTTTTCCACCTGACATTCATAGACCCTTGTTCTTAGTCATCAATTTTTATCTTGTCAACTTTTATTACTATAGAGAATTTCTAATTAATGGAGAGTAGTTTCTAAGATCCTGGTGGAGCTGTATTTGTTTGTGTTTCAAGTTAACTGGTGAACTTGCAAAAACAACAACAAGCCTCAATTCGTTTTATCTGAGACCTAAACATTTCTAAAGCTTGACTACGCTTTTGTGATGATGACTCAGTGGCGATAAAAGTGTCATCTCTACATTTAAAACATGAAGTGGTGGTGATTTGTGGGTTGACATAGGCCCTGGTATGTATTTACATTTTAAAATGAGATGATTAAAGTTTGAGTACATTTTTTTCCCCTTTTTGTTACAGAAAATGTTCCCAGCTATACCACGAAAGTATCTTTTAGCCTTCAGCTTTGATATCACCCATTGAAAGACTACGAAATCATGCTATCTTGTGGCATTACTGTGTGTTATGGGTCCTGTCATACAGAAGTAACAGATTATGCTCTTGGATAAAGTCTAGAAGTGACAGTCATCATTGTTAGACAAGTAATATTTCAAATTTCAAATATATGAATACCTTCTTCCTTGGACTGGAGAACTGGCAAATGGGTGTGTATGTTGATAACTGCAGGTTCATTTGAACACAGTGCTTTCTAAGAAGTGTACATTTTAATATTTTAGAAAATATATTACATTAAAAAATTACCATTTGAAGACCAAATTCTGAAGTTGATTGTATTGTTTTCCGAAACCAGAATATAAAGCTGTTGTAAAAAAGAGCGTTTGTATTGGACTAGTCAGATGGGAGTTTATTTTATTTTAAGGGTTTATTCAAACTGCTATTTCTATCATTTAAAATTCTGTTTTGACAAGCGGAAGTTTCTCTTGAAGGCCTTAGGAGCCTTATGCCGGGGTTTTCCCTCGACATAGTTGTCACGAGTTTTTGGTTCACGAGGAGGGGAGATCCAGCGGCGATAGGGATAGCGAAAGAATACACAGACAAACAGAAGAAGGGAGACAATGAGGCACCCCAAAGCCAGGGTGGATACATCACTGGTGGGCAGGCTTGGGACTACAGGCATCATGGCCTCTGCAGGCAGCGACTCACTGCCCTGCAATCTTTAATGCATGCCTTCCAACCCGTAATGCACCGCAATCTTTACTCCATGCCTTCCAACCAGTGATGCACACCTGGGGAGGCCCGGGCCTCTGTTTTATTTAGGGGAGGAGTTTCACACCAAGCTGGGAGGGACTAAAACAGGATACAGCTAACATCAGTAATTTTCCAGACATTCAGGGAACTTTACATTGTACTTCACTGGTTCGAATCCCAGGCCAGCAACTTGGATTCTCAGGCCCAATTAACATATCTATAGCCCCTGAGGTCAGTTGGGGGAAGGTGAGAGTTCTGCAGGAGACGCCCAGGTGAATGGGCTGCACCTGGAAAAGGGATTAGGGAGGATGGGTTCTTTGTCTATAGAACAAAGAACTGAGAAGTAGCTAAGATATTTTTAGTTAATCCTTTGGAGAAAGGTTTAACCTTGCAACCTTTAGGAAAATATCACATTTATCTGTGGATTTTCAAAGGCTCCAGTGTATTAATTTAGTATATATACCTGAATATTAAGATGAAAGCAATTTTCCATTAACTGCCAGTGGCCTCATTTGTTACACTCAGCCCTAGAGGGCCTCGAACCTCTGACTAGTCTTACACGGTCTGCAACAGCCTTAAGGTAAAAGCTGGGCCTTGAAAGTAGTAGGAAGTTTTGGAAAGTCTGCCCGTGCACTGGGCATGAGATGCTCAGCTGAGCATTGTCCAAGAAGTGTGGGAATGGCTGACTACTTTGAATGGCCCATGCAGTTGGCCAAACTGCTCTGAGTGGAACCTGGGACCCACCTCAAAGCAAAGAGTAGGGGCAGTGCACATTGGGCCCCCTCCTCCTGATTTCACCCCAATGTGGCCACGTAGTGATGAAGACTCCCTAGCAAGTTTTTTTTGTGTATATTATGGGAGCACTCAGCCTATGACCAAAATGGTGCAACCCAGAGGGAACCCATGAGAATCTATTAATGTTGGAAAGATAGGATTTCTTATAGGCCTTTTGACTCTTATATCACAACAGGTAAATTGGAAGAATTGTACAAATAATCTATTTTTATGCCATTATTTAGAGATGAAACAAATGATTGTGACTGATTGTTTTAATATAAGTTTAAGCAAGTAGCATTTTGTCAGCAAGGAAGAAAGATATGTGCACATTCACATATATTTATAATTGATTTGACTCCTATATGGTCTAGAATTTTCTGTGACGATGTAAATATCCTATGTCGACACTGCCCAGTACCGTAACCACCACATACATGTAGTTCTTAAGCACTGATGAGCTAAAATTTCAATTTTATTTCATTTAAACGTAAATGACTATCATATTGAACAGTACAGGTCTAGCCAGGTGAGTTCATTGGAAGTTAATCTGGGCTAGAAATGCAAGATGATTTTTCATTTCCTTTTGTTTGACGATCTAGCCTGTTTTTTAAAAGTATTAATCTGCTTTAATTTTTGATGCCTTTTAAAAGGACTGCTTTTGACTCTTAACATTTTATCATGGTGGGGGTGAGTAATAATTCTGACCTCTGTCCTCAACAGGTGTTAATCAGAGCATCCTATAAAGCACTGATTTATAGCACTCAGCAGAGGGTTGCTTCAACTTAAACTCTGAGAAATAGATTAAAAGATGAAAAGAGTAGGAAAATGGGAAATCACGTTCTTGAACTTTAATTCTATTTCCTTTTTAATACTTAAAAAATATAATTAAAATTTAGTATTTTTATTATTTGAATAATTGTGGAATATTATTCCATGCCAAGGTATATATTATATATAGTTAAATGAAAACTATATACGTTAAATGAAAATTATTTGAAAAGAGGGGAATTGTGGGCTTTCATACAACTTGACTATGCATATTTTATGTAAAATTTATTTAAATAAAATCAGTATTTTGTTCCAAAACCCAGTCTTGGTGTTACAAATAAACGAATGAAAAAATATTGTCATATTGACATATAATTATTCTGTGTTATATAATGTCCCCAAACAAAGATATTGTTTTGAACATGATGCTTTTAGTGATACTATTTCTGTAGTTATTACTATAAATGTAAAAATACAGAAAGATTCTAAAGTAGTATATGCATCTTAGTAGAAATAAATGAACTTGAAAATTATAATTACAAGTTTAATATTATACATATGGACTGATACATAATTTGGAAAAGTAATCTGTATGAACATTAAAGCAATAAGAAAGAAAGAATAAGAAAATAATGTTCTGGTTCTACAAGTTTATTGTTGCTGTTGTTGTGCACTGTTAAGTCGGTTCCAACTCATAGGAGCCTAGGGTTTCCGAGGAGTGGCTGGTGAGCTTGAACTGCTAACGGTGCAGTACAAGATGACCTTGCAGTCCAGCGCATTTACTCAAAGCCCCACACCAGGGCTCCCTAAAATAGTATTACTATCCTCATTTTCTAAAAGTTGGAAATTGCAGAAATTAGATGAAGTTTTTGAGTAGTACATTTTAATTAATAGCAAGATCACAAGTTTCATGACTGTAGTTTTAATTATTTCCACTAGAATCTTTTTTTTTTTTGGTAGGTCTTCCTACCCTCCTCAACCACATATTCCTTTTTTTCAATTGTTGTGGATCCTGAAACTATTACGTCATAAAGTAATAATTGGTAAAGTTTTCACTCACATATTCTTCTCAGTTTGCTTTGGAAGGATCTAAATTTTTTCTACAGGAGGAGACACAAGAGGTCCTTACAATTCTAATAGGAAGGTGTCCTGGTGATGCAGTGGTTAAAGTGCTCAACTGCTAACTGAAAGGTCAGTTGTTTGAACCATGGAAGAACGATGTGGCGGTCTACTTCTGTATTGATTATTACTTTGGCATGTGCCACCAAAGTCAACTGGCATAACATGGTCCTGGCTCATGCAGCCCACTGTTTGAACTCTTGGTATGGTGCTGTAGGATAAGCACTGGACTACTAACCAAATGGTGGTTTAAACCTACTAGTCATTCCTCTGAAAACCTATACAGGGTCATTATGCATCAGAGCAGACTCAACAGCATTTAACATCAGTCCATAAAGACAATGTTCTCCGTCTTACTTTGGTGAGTAATGGCTGGGATTTTAAAAGCTCATAAGTGGTTATCTAAGGTGCAACTATTAGTTTCTTCCTGTTCTGAGGAGAAGAATGATGAAAATTGAAGACAAATGGAAACAATCAGTCCAGTGGACTAATGGACTACAGGAACACCAATCTCCATGACCCTGACGCCAGAAGAGCTAGATGGTGCCGACTACTACTACCAACTGTTCGGAAAGGGATCTCATTAGAAAGTCATTGATAAAAGTGGGAGAAAAATGTGGAACAGAACTCCAAATCATAAAACAGACCAGGCTTACTGGTCAGATCGAGATTGGTGGAACTCTGGAGAGTGAGGTCCTTGGCAACTCTTTAGGTCTAGAAATGAACCCAATTCCATGGCTCAATTTTCTGCCAAACACCAGACAGGGCTACGAGGGGAACAGTAACACTAGTGAGTGATGCACACCTTACAGTCCTCAACCATCTGAGATCAGAAGGGGGTGAGGAAAGGAGGACAGACAAATGGAAACAGGAAACACTGGAAAGTGAGCAAAACAATGTTACAGTCAAGAGATTGCAGTCAATGAGATGAAAGAAAATGTGTATGAATTGTTGAATGAAAAACTGATCTACTCCATAAGCTTTCAACCAATTCACAATAAAAAGTAAAACAAAACAAACAAACAAACAAACAAAAAAAACACAGCTCTGGAAATGATGGGGTAGTTCTATCCTGTCCAATAGGGTAGCTATGAGGTTGAATCAATTTGATGGTAATAGGTTTTGGATGTGGTGAGAGATGGCCCATTCTCAGTTTTCTGTGCAAAAAGCTTCTTAGCTGTACTCCAACTTTGATATGTCCTCTTCTGAGGATTTGGCTAGTTATTTACCTCTTCTGATTACTTAAAACAGGCAACCACATCATATTCAGGTTTTTGTTGCTTTTTTTTTAAGCTTTAAAAAGAAAAGGTTAGTGAAGGGGATATTTAAGGCCTTTTGAATCATTTAGATGAGATTTCAACAACTGATGGAGTAAAGGTCATGTGCAACACTCTGACAGGGGTATAGAATTAGTCGTCTCTGGGAAAAAAGCTATAGACATAGCACATCTGCACTACAAAGAAAAGACTGAAACATCATTTATCAAGGCACTACTGAAAGGAAAAAAGTTGAACAGAAGGATCATTTGGGATGCTTGCTAAACCTGGATTCCAGGGTTAAGTTATGAGGATTGCAAACTCTAAATTCTGGAAACTGG